ATTCTTTAATGCTTCCAAGCAGTTGAGATCATTGTGACACTCGTGCTGAGCCTCGTTGAAGGGATCTATCTCCCATGTTTTGTCAATAGTTATGACGGCTATGGAAACTAGAATAGTTTATGGTTTTGTTGCTGGCTTACTATCTGAATAATCCACGAGATAATTGCTTGCCATGTTTATAGTTAGATTAATGTAGACAAAAACATAAAATAAAATTTTAGAGACAATAACTCAAATTATAATCGAATCGTGCTTGCATAGCCAATAGAGAAAACGCAGAGTCATTCACACGCATTCTAGTTGACTTGCTGTACGAGCGTCTCAGAGGCGATAGTTACGTTATCTTCATTCCAGGCTTCTGCTTGGAAATACACCAGCAAGGTTGTTTTATGTATATACAAATATCTAGTTTTCATGTACAGCTAAAAACTAAGTGCCTAAAACTAGCATGCCACTGGTACTATTTCTGAATATTGTTGTGCTCAACTAAGCTTTAGTCAAAGTGGATGTTGAGGGTGCTTGTGTTAGGTCAAGGATCATGCATACGCAAGCAGCTCTGTCTATTGTGATTTTCCTTATAATACTGTATTGGGTATCTGGTGTGGATACCATATTGAAAAAAAAAGTTTTTTCATTTTTGTGTGTGAGCCAAATGTTGGCTTATGGTTCAGAAATTACCAATTGATATTTACAAAAATTCCACAAATATTTTAGTTAATTTTGTATAGAATTTGTAACAGCCTGACTGCAAATTGTCATAAGTACTGAACTGATACATGCAAGCACCAATTACTTGCCTCTTGTCAACTTGTGTATGATATTTTTAATTAAAACCAATAGAATCGAGAGTTGTTCCAAAAGCACAGAACCTCAACCACATACACTGGAAGGCACCGTGGTGGAAGGGCTGCATCGTTGTTTGGAGTCTACATAATACCACTCTAGTTTATTGGCCATAAATGTTGGAGTATTACACCCACACATCTGAAAATAAACAAATTCACAATGTTTCTGTCCATCCTGGACCATTATCAAGTAGTGGAAAACCTATTTCTATATTTTTCCCTTACTCCCTTCTTCAAACCTCTTCCTATATTACTTGCCTCTTGAATTTATCTTGAGATGATTTCGGGGCTTTTAGTGTTCCCGCGGCTCGGTCCTCGACCAGGCCTCTACCCCCCAGGAAGCAGCCCGTGACAGCTGACTAACACCCAGGTACCTATTTTACTGCTAGGTAACAGGGGCATAGGGTGAAAGAAACTCTGCCCGTTGTTTCTTGCCGGCACCTGGGATCAAACCCAGGATCACAAGTCCAGCGTGCTGTCCGCTCAGCCGACCAGCTCCCACACGAAGAGTACCTCACTCTTATTCTGCAACCTTCTCACCTATTGTCTTGCTCTTACCTTATAAACCAACTTTCTCTACCACTTTTTCCATTAATGACCTAATAATGGTCCAAAATGGACTGAAACGTCAATTTTTTATTTTCAAATGTGTGGGTTGGGCGCCTAATTTTCAGCCACGTTATTGTGACTTATTATCCGCATTTGAGTATTACATCTGGTGGTTTATGTAGAGCTGGTCTCTTGCATTGAAACCCACAGTGCTACACGCCTCAATTTCTCTTCCCTCTTAATAATGCCACTTTAGTGCAAAATTCAATTACCAAATAATAGTTCAATAAATGTTAATGCCAAGGCTATTAGTAATAATACATATGAAAGATAGGTGGTAGGTACAGTAGTCTTAGTATTTGCCTAGTTATACTTGTTGAGGGGGGAGAGTGTCAACTTCAGTTCTCCACTTTCATATTAACATCTCGGAACCAAAATCTATTAGCTGAACACAGTGCATTTTGTTGATATATGCTTTGGTTTCATTTGACTCGCCTCCCTGTAAATCTAGTTCAATTTAAAAGTGTTTCTTTTATTTTCATACTAATTTCTCCCCAAGTTACAACTCTGGTACTTTAACTTGAAGCATTAAATTTTAGATTTTTGTTGTAAGCATTTATAGAGACCACTGATACTAAGGTGTTGAGATGGCTACTAGAGTAGGCAGGCAACAAAAAAATAAACAAAAAAATTATAAATAGGAAGATTATGTATTACTGTTTCCATAGTGGTGGAAAAGGTAAGATAATTGAGCAGGAAAAAAAAAAGGATATGCATATTTTCACAAGTCCATAGCACAGTAATTAAATTTCAGTTCGTGAAACTCAAGAAAATAGTCAAAATTTCAGGGATCCATTACAAATGTGCTGTAGAAACTACAGTTACTGTACTCAATACTGGAATATTTCATGGTAATGAGTATTTTGAGAAGTATATACACAGTACAGCGGTACCTTGGTTTATGAATTTAATCTGTTCCCAGAGGCGGCTCGTAAACCAAAAATTTGCAACCAAACAAATTTTCCCCAAAAGAAGTACTGTAATGTCTATTTAATTAATCTATTCCACACTCCCAAAAATATTAACTTCAAAATACATTTCATACATAATACACGCACATAGTTTGTACTATAGTATGTACAAGTGATACCTGTATTGATGACTTGTTGGCATATGGAAGACAGTGAGGAGGAGAGGTTAGTGTTTGGAAGGGGAGTCCCCTTCCATTATAAAATCAGGCAGTGATGACTTCTCTGGGGGTACTATCTCTCTCCTACATTTTGCCTACATACCACTAGGACCTGGTTGTGGCTCACTGCTTGTTTTTCTCACTAAAAACCTTTCCACAGAGACTTGTTTTCCCTACATTTTTAACATTTGTCTGTAGTGAGGCATCACAGTGTCATTAAAAAGGTTAAGACAACGGCCTATTGCAGCTTGATTTGGGAGAATTGTTTCAATAAAACTTTGCATTTCTTACCATACTGCACTCCAATTCTTAGTTGTTGAGGAACACATGGTGTGGTATATAATAATTACTTTTATGTTTAGAAAGCAAAGCAGCTGAAAAATAGTGAAATTCTTTACAAAGAATTCAAGCGCAATTGTTGCTAAGCGGGAGCCACTGGTAAGTAAGTAAGTAATCAAAAGACGGCACCAAGCCAGGAAGTCTATATAGCACCAGAGCCACTGGTAAACTGAAGCGCGGTCGCCCGTGCTACCAGGAACCACGTGCTCGGTCGACCTATATGTGTATCAGCAAGCTTGCAAATTTAGGCAAAACTCGTAAACCAATTCGAATTTTACGAAGAAACTGAGCTCATAATCCAAAAAATTTATAAATAGGGGCATTCGTAAGCCGAGGTTCCACTGTATATGCATAAATACAAAAATATACTGTGTATATACATACATAATGAAAACCTGCTTATCTGAGCAGAACTGAGTTACATTATGTTTTATGGATAAATTTTTCTTATATTTTTGAGGTACAATTGTATATTATTTATGGCAAATGTTAATAACAAACACTTGTTGAAGATTGAAGCCCCTCAGAGCTCCCCAGCTTGCCTTAAAAGGTCACTGATCCGAACTGCTGTTTGGACCGGCTCAAAATTTTCCTGCATCATGCAGTACCTGTACTTTGTATGACCAACTTCCAGATTAGCCGTTTAAACTAACTGTATAGAGTATCTTTGATTTTAATTCTCTTGTGTTATAATTATATATCATTTAATTTTGATTTAAAGAATGCTGTTGCTGTGTCCAATTGGTTGTTTACTCAGTCATAAAGTTGCATTGTATAGTTTGAGCAACATACTTCAGTCATGACAATTCTTGAGTAATCTTTGTAAAAAGGTTTTTGTCCAAGGTCTATTATTTTACATAAGCAAGAGTTCGTGTTGAAGATAAAACTTTTGTTTAATCTGATGTTACTGTACTTTTACTGTATATAACTTTCAGTATGCATTTATTTTGGTAATACAGTATTTATAATTAAATTTATAGAACTATATTTTTGCTTCATGGCATCATTTCAGTATAAAATGACTGAAAGGTTTGAATATTTTTCAAATATTTTTTTTATCAGAGCACAATACAAATTTAGGTAATTAAATTTGTATACATTAAAACAAGATTCTCAGTGATATCAAATATGTGCAATATTAGAGAATATAACTATATTTTGTATTATTGCTTCATCTTTGAAGTGGCCTCTTTAACACACGAGTCAAGTCTTTAACACACGAGTCAAGTCTTTAACACACGAGTCAAGTCTTTAACACACGAGTCAAGTCTTTCACAAGCACGTTGCTATCTTATGCTAATCTGGATAAATGATGTTAATGTAACAATGAATCAGCATTGAAAACGTTTATTAAACATTACATTACTGATCTAACAGCTCAATACTATTTCAAATATCAATGTATTAATAAAGAATAGTTCAAAACTTATTTTTTTTCTTGGGAGGAAAGCAGAGTTGTAAAGTAGGATGATAATAAATTTTATCTTATCAAGCCATAAGCCTTCTAGCCAATAAATGCATTGATTGATTAGCACACACTGTCATGGATAATGTTTAATTTTTCATTAAAATCAATATCTTATGGAATAAATTTGCTTTCAAAACTTTATTCTTTTGTGCAATGTTTCATCAAGGTCACTGACTTTCTCAAGAGCCCCACAAACAAAATATGGCAGCTTCTCATATACTTTGTATCCAACAGAGCCTATAAACATTACAGTCATTAATAGTAAACTTTAATATATATTTGATGCAAGATTCCTAGGGTTAAATTTTAAAAACACCTTCCCATTTATTGTCAGTACTCTGAAACCCCCAAATTCATCACCTTTCTTTAAGTATTTTCACATCTGGGCTGCAGAAAGATGTACACTTTTCAAATTGCACTTAAAACTGCTTTTTTCTTCTCTTCACTCCATAATCTCAAAGCTGTCAATCTTTTTTTTTGTGTTTAAACTTGTTTGCATTGTATTCAACCCCAATTCAGAGCATATATGTTGAAACAGGGTTCAGTCTTTGCAAGATCGCCATTATCAGTTTTGTCTTCGATACATCTCACGGATGTTCCCACTTGCATTTACACATTTTTAACAAATGCACATATTCTGAACCCCACACGTTTCCACTCTTACAATCTTTTACTATAGAATGCTCTTTTTAGTCTATTCTCATTTTATAGAATGAGAATGTTCATTCTCTTTTATAGAATGCTTTTTTATAGAATAGGTTGAAACCTGCTGGTTTCAAATGACTTGCGCTTTAAATGCAGTGGTTAATTAAAAGTACTACAGTATCTGGAGATACCTGATTAAAAATTAGTTAATTAAATGGGAAAATTGCCCGATGATTGGAGAAATGCAATATGTAACAGTTGGATATATGGTTAAAACAATGAGGAGAGTTAAGTCTTAAATTAAGATGTTTATTGTATTTCGAGTTGTGGCTGTGAAAAAATGTATCTGAGAAACTTCAAGATTTGGAAAAGTGTGCATGACATTAAAGCATTATTTGTATTTCATGTTCTAATCTTAAAATTAATACGGGGCATTCAACTCAGTGGGGAAACTCCAAGCTTTTCATAGTCAACAGGAATTTAACAAGTGAAAATATAGGAAATTATTTTGTATATCTGCTGACAACATAACCGACCAAAACACTTAATTAAATATTTAAAAATTGCCGACTAGCATTTTTGCACACAAAGAAACTTAAGCATATAAAAGCTTCCAGTTGTTTAGGGGAAATTTATTAGCAAGCATGAACCATTTTACCTGACTCGGGATGTATTCCATCGTGCTTGAGAAAGGCAGCGACCTACTCAAAATGTTGAGTAAATGGTTTAATTGCACAGTCTCATTACTTACCAAAAATTCAGTACATAATCATATATTGGTTTGCAAGATTTGTGAAATATTATTAACAATTATTCAACAATCTTTGCATTAGATATTGGCATAGAAATAAAATCAGCAATTAGGGGAAATTCAAGACTTATTCTGTTAAGGAAAGAGGCTCAGCCAATGTTATTGAGGTATTTAAAGTCTTCTGTTAGAGGCCACATGATAAGTGCTTTAGCGAATCTCGTGTATTGTAGTTATATTTGGCCAGAGTACCCTGTGAAAAGCATTAATAAGTTTGTAAGCTTATAATGAGATTACACAGTGAAATCACATAAACGTGATATATCTATGAGAAAACAATGATTCAGTAGTGTGTGTGTGCCTGGGGAGTTCAGGGACGCAGGTTCGATCCCATTGTATAGCATCATTATTTTCTCATGAGATTACAATTAAGAAGACTGACTGTGAACGTGGGAGAGAAAAAAAAAAAAGGGTTTAGGAATAAAACTGGTAACTGACTGACTGCTGATAGCAATGTTAGTATGAAACAACCTGTGTCTAGGTAACATCAATGCCTATCCCAGTGGGAAACATCCAAGAGTGGTACCAAATCAAAGTCATCATCACTGAATTAACACTGAAAATGTTGATTCAACATCAAACCAATGCCACACTTGGATTGGGCCCACTGGGATGTAGTTCAGTGTTACAATGAGATTACTTTTGCACTCAAAAATTTGGAAATACCCTTTTTGCAATTTTGTGAAAGTTATGGAATAACAAGACTACACATGAGAATTCATGTCATTAATATACATCAAAAAACTCTTTATAGAGCTTCTCCTATGTATACATTCCAGCATCTGATGTGAAACCAGACTGTTCTCTCAATTTGTCACACCGTACAAAATACGAAGTACTAACCCAAACTACCCATTCAACCTAATCTACTTATGCACAGAAAGTGTGAATAGAATAGACTTGATAATGGTCCAGGACGGACCGAAACGTCATCGTCTCTTCACTTTCTAGTGTGTAGTTTGGTCAACAAAGTGTGAATATTTGTGAACCGTTACTTTTCATAGTAATTTGTACGTTGTACTCATTATGCATTAACATGCATAATGAGATGTACCATTTGATAGGACAGACTGATGTATGACAGTGCCAGTTTTATGCCTATTGGTCCTTTAAAGATTCCCAAAAATTTATATCAAATTGTTGCCTCAGTGTAGGACATTTAAGTTACTTTCCTTCCAGTCTGTTGGGATATACATTTATGATGTATCATATGTGATCAGAATAGCTCATGTCATATTCTTCAGTGCTGTTCTAAAGCTGTATAAGTTTGTTAAAGAAAATGCTATACATGTGATGTCTTGTACAGTATAACACAGGTTGTGCACCTGATATGGTTGGTTA